AAAAAAAAAAAAAAACTTAAATTCTGCACTTCAGGCATCACAGCTGAATGTTCAATAGACACTTTAATGAGCAAGAGATAGGAATCCAGGGAGGAGTCACAAAGAAAGCCTACAGAATCGTCGGGAAACGCACACTATTTTGTCCTCTATAGTTTTCATCCAGGAAACTTTTGGCACTAACATAATCTTCGGAAGAAGAGCTCGAGCTGCAATTGTGCATTGCACATCTGACCTCTAAATGATAACTTAATGCAAGCTGGAAGAGATATTTCAGCAATTTCATTCCTTGCTTCATAAATTATGTGATTCTGCAACCTTGGGGGTTGGTAAAATATTAAAGTCTATTTTCAGGTCTCTGCAATTTAGGGAAAAAAAACATGAATGGATAGCACTGCTAGCTGCCAACAAAGAAACACTCCGCTGCAAAGACACCACTTTCTAGACAAAAGAAATAATCAACTGGGAGATTTTAAAAAGAAAAAAAGAAATAGCTAAATCAACATTGACGAAATCTGTTCAAGGAAACGCACCAGATCAGGACGAGAGTCTTCAGCTCCAAGAACAGCATGTCGATTAGGTTGGTCCTCAACATCCCATATAAGAACCTAACATGACATAAATCTAGCAAAGTTAAACAGAATAACTTTAAGTGATCGTAGAGTAATCCAGACTAAAGGGAATATGCTTAATCACTTACTTCAGGACAGTCGGTGTGTGTGGCCACTATATTTTTATTCTGAGGCAGTTCTCTAATTCTGTTCACCTATAATGACATGATGAAACTCTAATGAATGCAGTCATGGCAGCAGGTAGTGAGTCAGAGGCCAAAACTGCAATTATAACAAGAGCTATACCGAAAAGAAGTTCAGCGTAAGGGATTAAAAAAAAAAAAAGACCGTGGCAGTAAACAAAGCAGAACAATATTGTAGGTGCACATGGCATCTATTTCTTGGAGAAGATACTTCTCCAAATGTAATGGCACTGTCAGACAAAAACAGTATCATCAACATCAGTTCCACTTCGATAATTCTTCCAATCCAACACCGTGTGTCAGAGAAGTGGCATAATACTTTATCCATTTGAGAAGCTTTCATTTTTTTCTTCTAATTTACAACTTATCATCCAAAGGTCGATCCATTCTATTCTTCTGCCTATAATTCATGAAAAAAGAACAATGGAGGACAAAAAATAGAAAGACTCGTGCATCCCTAAGTTGGCACTTGGCATGTGGCATTACAAAATGTGTACTGTCATTCAATGTATTTCACTCTATAAAAACAAAACAAGAAGTTCAACAATAAACTCGAAAATAAGATTATGAGAATTTCCGAGCAATTTCTCAGATATGATAGCTTTTCGTTTTTCTAAGAAACTTCCGTGAGGATGGGGGATCAAAGAGGGATCCCCAACCTGTGATTATTACAGCTCCAACAACTCAAGTTTAGTGAAAATATGACAACTTTATACAACTAAGTTCAGTGAAAATATGGAACTGGAGTATGCACGCCAATATTTAGTTATTTACAGGAATACATTCCATACCTCTCCCGGATGTAAGATAGTTTTGTACTTCTTGACAAATGGAGAGCGCGCATCTTCATTGAACTGATGAAAAACATAAAAAGGTTCCACATAATTACTGTTTTTTTGGAACGTCACATATGGAACACAGAAAACATACATTAGCTATGTGGCTCTCTGCAGCAACTCGTGGTTTCACAACCTCGCAATTTGCTATAATCAAAGTGTTCGGGTGTGTATGGTCGGTCTGTAAAAAACATTAATTTACAGTTTAGCTCAACAGTGCCTTATGAAAGCGGGGAAAAACATAGGCTAAAGGTTAAAGCAGTCAAAATTACACAGCACAATAAAAACTTCATAAAATAAGCTAAGACATGAACACCATAAGTCTATAAGATATATGACAAAGTTTCTAATAATGATCTCAAGAAGAAAAATAGAGTAAACATCATCCACTCATGTGGTGGGAGAGAATGCAAAAACTCAATGCTTTTGGCATGCCGTAATTATATTATTATAGTCGAAACAGAAATTAAAGACCTGTCAAGTCACAGTCCCATAATAGAGGCATTCAAATACTAAAATGTGAAATTGGAGCTTTGTATGATAGATACAGTCAGTCAGACACTGAAGACAAAGAGTATCTAGGTTTTTATTCTTAAACAATAAGATCAAATGAAGAGTATATGGGGATTTTTAACACAAACAAAAACGTGAAATAGTTAACTCTAAACGCAAATACACAAAACAAGTATTACCAATGAACATGAAACAAAAATATTAAATCATGAACAGCGTAAGAAAATTTACCTGCTCAGAAAGGTACAGACGCTGCTTGTTCCTGTCGTTTCCTTTTTCAAGAACTGGGCCCCAACTATAACCACAAAAAAATACAACAACATGTACAAATACCCAGGACTCGAATAGACCAACAGCTTTCCAAAATAATATACCAAGTAAATCTGTCTACCAAAAACTATTGTTCTAGTGTAAAGCAAAGTTACAGCACTATGCAAATCTTGACATGGCAGCCATAAAAATGCATATAACTGCATGTTGCAAGACTAAACAAAAACAAAATAAACAAACAAATAAATAACTAACCCCAGAAATGTGGCGAATGAAGGAATTGTAGAATAAAATAAGAACCAATCGCAACATTAAACCTTAAAACCCTTTAACAAGTTGGTTCCACATACATTTCCACGGATTTTTCATCGTCTTGCCCACTTAACAGACCTCAAATTACATACATTTACTCTGAGCTTAAACTGCACCATCCTCGATTTCAAACAAACAAAAAACCCTAATAAAACCCTCACAAGAAAAGCAAAATTAAAAGAGGGAACGAAAAAACCGATTATAAAAAAAGTGATTGAGCTGTTACCGGCAAGACAGAGACGGCCAGACCAGGTTGTGAGAAGCTATCCAGTCGTAAAGCACTGGCACCAGCAGCTTCCAGTTCGCGTAACTCTCGTCGGCGGCGGTGTTCCTCTTCTCGCCGCCGAGACCTCTCGTTCTCGACGGCGCTCCTCCGCCGCTGGAATCTCTGTCCTTGTCGGGTTTCGGCTTGGTGGTTGATCCCTTCGGTCTCCCGCGCCTTCTGGGCTCGGCGGGTGGTGGGGTTGTCTCCATTTTCCCCCCTCTTTTTGTCTTTTGAGTTTTTCACTCTTTACTGTTACCGAGTTGGTGAGGATTTAAGGTCTGTTCGGACTTTGGTACTGAACTCGTGAGAGAGAAAGTGACGGCAGCAAAGGTCTGTTTGGTAGTGACTAATTGTGTCAAATTACTACAGTGTATCTATCTATATATTAAAAGAATAACCTTTTAAGGATTCCTGCCAATTTTTCCGTGTATATATAATCACCCGCCAATATATCTATATATAATTACCCATCAATTTAACAGTGTCTTAAAAATTAGCAATTGTCTTTTTTTTTTTTTTGGTAGATAGGGTAGTCAACAGCTGATTTATTGGGTAGATAGGTAATCGACTGAATTATTGGGTAGAATTTGTTATTCTCTTTTCTGTTTTTTTGGTATCAAATAAAGTATCAAAACTAATAATTTTCAAATTGTGTGTAATCAAATATTTTTAGATGGAACACCATGAATCCGGTATGATTTTATTAAATTAGACTTATAATATTTTAGATACTTAAAACAAATTGTTTAGACATTTTTTTACATATTCGTCTATATATATACATATACACATACACATAATTGATGTTAAATTTAAATATATGTAGTCATTTTTATTTACAAAATAGTCTAGAATTTTTTTTTTTACACAATGTTAAATTGAAATATTTTTAGATATGTTTTTCTTCTAAAATTATTTAGAAAAGTTGTAGATGATTTCACATCTTTCAAAAATAATATAGAAAAATTTGAATACTATTACATATACTAATATAATATTTTAGGTGTTCTTAATGTTAAACATACAAATTTTATATTCTCTTATACAAAATAATGTAAATTTTATATTCTATTATACAAAATAATTTTACATTGTTTGACCCCGAATCTTTAATTTATAATTATTGTGTATTGTTTATTCTCATCTTTAATTTATAATTATTATTTTTTTCTTTCTCTTTTTAAATAGGATCAATAGTAATTTTCACTTCCACCATTGAGTAACTCAAACTCGAGATTTATTTATAATATTATTAATTTAATATTGTTCCCGTGCATCGCACGGGGTGTACACTAGTTTGAGTAATGCTAAGTACATAATATTGTACATAGAGTGTGCATAACACTCACATTGAGTAGGACCTATCAAAAATAAAAAAGGTAACATAATATTGTACATATAAGTGTACATAACACTCACATTGAATGGGACCCACCAAAACTAAAAAATTAAATTGGAGTGAACCTCACTCCATGTGAGTGTTATGTACACCTCTATGTACATTTATTATGTATTTGTAGCATTTTCCTTTGTATTTAGTACCACGACTTTTAAATGACCACGTGCGATTACAACAATTTTTTCGTTTATAAGTTACGCATGTATTACACGACTAAAGTGTTAAGAAATTTATATTTAAAATTAAAAATATTAAAATTTAAATTAATTTTTAAATAAAGTTTTGAAAAAATATATCACTATTTATATTTAAAATGACACTCGTCATCATTTGAGTTATCATTTCATAATATAATAGTATTTTTAACTTATATAATATAATTACTTTGTAGTTAAATGAATTTAAATAGTTTTATTGTATTTAACTAATATTAGGAGGTAATTTAATTTTATTATAATATGAATGTACAATATAGTGTCAAATCGAATCTAATCAAAATATGACTAGTTTTATATATACTATATTAAAAAAAAATTAATAATAAATAAAAAAAATTCATTATTTTTTAAAAAATGTAGTTAAAATTTTAGGTAGTAATTTTTTATAATTTTAAAAGAAAGATGAAGAAAATATAAAGATTGGAGAAAAAATGTCTTATAATGTTATAAACTACGTCTATAATCTATATATATATATAAAGAGTTACAATTTTGTAAATATGGCAAGTCAAAATGTGGTCAAATATGGTTGAGCATTAATTGCATGCTATTAATAGCAAGTTATTATTATTATTATTTTTTTATTTACAAATGTGCATCATTAATTGTTGCATTTAAATGTGGAGTTTGTTAAGTGAAGTTTGTTACTTATTTTTGCTCAAGATTAGGATGTTCCTTTTTTATTTTCACAAATTAAAAAAAAAAAAAAAAAAACTTTCTTTAACATATAATTGTGTACCACATTGCAAATTTTATTTTATTAAAGAAATAAGATACGCCTAACTTAATAGTATAAACTTAAGTTAGTATTTACAAAAACTCTTTTTGACATCAACTCGGCTACTACAATTGTTTTAATCGGATACTTTTATTTTAAATAAAATAAATTACAGTTCATTTAATAATCAAAATATACAATATTTTTATTCTATTCTTTTTATTTTTTTTTATACATAAAAATAACACCAAACTAATCTAATTATAAAATCGTCAATATTTTATTTGTGCAAGAACGGGTTGTAACATTTTCATTTTCACAAATTAAAGAACTTTTTTAACAGAAATAAGATTACCAAATTGCATATTTTTTTTATAAAAAGAAATTACGATTGATTAAATAATAAAAAATAACTTTAGTATTTGCAAACAATTTGAAGCCTTTTGAACATCAAATCGGCTAATACCATTAAATTAATGAATTCTTTATTCTTTTAAAAACACCAATTCCTAAAGTTGCGGTTGATTTAGTTTTCAAAAAGAAATTTTTTTGATAACAAAAAATTGTGAATCACATTGCAGCCTAGATTGGTGGATTTGATTCCATTAAGTTCTAGAAATATCGGTCATTGAATATAATTTGAAATTCAAAATCCTTTCTCATTTTTTATTTAAAAAATTCGATTGTGTTTTTTATTCAATACAATCAGATTGCCGAAAAAATTACCTTCTTGAATTGGAAATTTGAAATTCAAAATCACTTCTCATTTTAGTTGCCATAAAATTGGACTTAATTCAAAATCTCTTCCTAATATAAAGGATTTTGTTCAAATTGAAATATAGTATATACATAATCACATGCTTCTATCCTTGGACGAATAACCTTAAATAAAAGATTTTATGCCACTTTAAAAATTAACAAACCTCTTGGAAATTACAAAATCATAATGAACTTCAAAATTGTTGGTTTCATTTTGCACGAAATTCAAAATGGTTTAAGAATTTCAAATCAATTGAAATTCATCTCTTTAATTTTTTTCCATAAGTTTAAAAAATTTACAATAATTAAGTCAAATTACAAATGTATTGTTTCAAAAAAATCAAGTGGATAGTTTTGAAAATAGACAGATTTTTTTTTTTCAAAATCATCTTAGTCTTGAGTCAATATAAAATAAAACTAATATGTTAGGAGTTTTTAATTGTTTAAACATACAAATTTTATGTTCTCTTGAACAAGCTAATTTTATCTCGTTTATAATAAAATGATACACCATAAATTATATGACATGTTAACCCTACATCGTTAATTTAAAATTAATATTTAGAGTAATGCTATTGGTACATAATATTGTACACATTGGTGTACATAACACTTACATTGAGTGAGACCCACTAAAATTAAAAAATCAAGTGGACCCTACTTCATGTGAGTGTTATGTACATCTTTATGTACATTTATTATGTACATGTAGCATTTTTCTAATATTTAATATCGTTTACCCCCATCTTTATTTTTTCTTGCTCTTTTAAGAGAAATAGTAGTTCCCCACTTATTGCATTGAGTGACTCGAACTCGATACTTATGTATCATAAATATTTAATATTGTTTACCCGTGCATCACACGGGATACACACTAGTAGAAAATGATAAGACTTAATTAATATTCTTAAAAATGATCATAAATATTTAGTATATTTATATATATTACAGATCTAATTTTTGAAATGAAAGTAAATTAATATTTATCCAAGTCAAATAACAAAACATGAAAATTTGTCACATAATCCCGAAATAAGCGAGTATGTCACTCGAGCTCGGCACATTTGAAAATGATATATAGAGGGATTTTTGCAAGTTTGTTTTCCACTGAAACAAATTTCACTTTTGAAAAATTATTTATTTTTTTATTGAAATTCTGGGGAGTCTTAAGTTTATTTGAGGGTAGGATTTTATGTATTTTGTTATTTAAATCTGAATGTATGTTGATAAAATTCAAAAAATAATAGATACTTTGAATACTTTATGGCTTATTAACATAGTTTTTTAACTCCACCCGGCACCGCGGGTCGACCCGGGACCCGGTTGGCTCGGAGCTAGAACCAGTTCGGGTGGGCTAATCGGACGGATAACAAAAGACCCGGTCAACCCGAGCCATTGACCCGGCCCCTATATTCTTTTTTTTTTTAATTTTTTGTAATATTTTTTGTTTTTAACAAACAAAACTATGTATATATATTTATATAGTAAAAATTTATCATGAAATACATTTTATTAACATTTAAAAAAAAATTAATGTACAAATCTATATAGAAAACATTTAATTTTTCTACTATTATGTGTAATTACATGACAAAATACTCTATATATAATTTTAAATTTTAAAAATAAAATATTTGGTTCAACAATTGACCCAGTGATCCGGCGGTTGAACCGGTGACCCGGAAACCTGCCCGGGTTCGATTCCCGAACCGGGTTTAAAAACTATGCTTATTAATACTTTTTAAATTTTTAAATAAATACGTTTACATTTTCAGAAGTTTTAAAATATACAAACTAAATATAATCAACATTTTAAAATCTCAATAAATCCTTATAAAATTTCAACGAATACACCATATATAACCCCCATCCTTTATTCTATGACTAGTATTTGACCCTGTGCATTTGCACAGATGTAAATAAAGTATTGTGAGTTATTTGTATGTATATAATGACTAATTATTTTCTTTTACCTTTTTGCTGACCAAATTTATAATTAAATAAGTTGAAATATTTATTTTTTAAAATTGCGTTTATCTGATTGAATGTAAAGTTTATTTTGGTACGTCTTTTTTTGTGAATTATTTATTATATATTTATAAGTTTCAAATACGTTTTTTATTTTTAAAAAATTAATTTAAATGTAACCACAATAATAACATCTAATTATATTATACAGTCAACAAATTATATGTCAAATGTCAGTAATTAAAAGTTTAAAATGATTTTTGTAATTTTGAAGTGATTAGAGTTTATTGTTTAATAATTAAATGAAAGATTAAATACATCAAAAGTAACGGTTTTGGAGAGAAAATTGTTAAATTGCCACATAGGTAAAATTAAATAGGTTTTATTAAATGCTATTAGCTAGTAATTATATATATAAGATTATGTTTCATATCTCCATAAACTGGGAAATCTACTTTCAAACTCATACTCGTTTTCATTGTCTTTACCAAGCACTGCTTACAATTTTTTGGGAGGGAAAATTCTGACAAAATTGATTGTAACAAAAAAACTTGATTAAATGCAACGGTTTTGAAACCTCAATGTATGTATCAATTCATTGGGAGAATTCAAAATGTAATCGTTGAGAATTTTGAACCCTCGTTGACAATTGATTATCCATTATTCTTTAGCATCTATTTTGCTCACTTTATTCTCCCTTATCGCCTTCTCTCATGCGAACATACGTTTCTAAATGATTTATCTCGGTAATGTTCGAATAACAACATATAATATCGTGGTAAAAAATGTAACTTATAATTAACATATAAGGACAATTGTTGATGAGGTTTATTACGTTTATCGGTTTTCATGATGACAACTTATGTGTTGATGAGGGTTTCTTGTGCATTAGGTCATATACCAGTAATCACAAATAGAACAAAGAAAAATCGCACACACAATTTGACAAGGGCTCAATCCATCCCCCAATCTACCAAAATGGCCTTTGTATGATCTCAGTCTGTATAAAGCGTACTATCAAATTTAAACTTCTAAGGAAGATGCATCATAACGACTAGAAGTTGCATTCAGTCTTTTTTCTATAACCGAATAAAGTCCATAAACACTTCACGACAACCGAAACAAGCAGTTGAAACCAAGTTAGTATAGGCTCACAAACCGAGATAAAGACAAGTCACCAGCATGTAAAAGCTTAACCAGTTGGCGTAAGGCACTCAAACATAGATTCCCGAAGAAAGCAGCAAGAACAAAGATCCAAATCCCTGCCAAAGGATGCAAGAATTATTGTTCATGGTAATCATACAAAACCAAAAGGATAAACTAACAGCAAATTTTTGTATGATTTGGGCAGTGCTTGATAAGTACTTACCAGGAAGACTGATGCAATAGCACCAGTTGTCAGTTCCTTGGCAAGACTGCGGTTTTTCCTGGAGGAAGTAGCCTCATAGCTGCGTAGTCAAAATGCAATAAAATATAAGCACGATATAGAAATGTTACATACAGCCTTTTTTTTTTTTTTGTCATATTTTGTTAAAAAGTATTTTTCTACAAAACAAGAGATTTTACTACACAAGAAAATGCATGCCCATCGTGATTCAACCAAGTTCAAACATTAATCATGTTCTCTTCCACTCCCATCCATCATTTGACCATAGTTTTCTACGTGGTTGATGAAAGGGAAGCATATTAAGGTAAAGAAAATGATGTTAGAAACTAACCAATAAACAAACAAAAACTAATTGAACTAGAGAATGTGACTAATGTTCCACTGGAAGTGTCATGTTTACTCCGGAGTTTGCCAAAACACTTCTGTCAAACATTTTCAATACCTCAAACAAGTTCAAGGTTCTATTCCATAATCAACTTTAAAACTTTAGATCATTTTTCACGAAGCAGTTATGTGTCTGTCTTTCTCATGCACATGTTTGAGATAATGTTCTCAAAACTTTTAAATTTTGTAGAACATTTCTTTCTTCAATTTATTCAGACAATGAAGTGTGTAAATGCATATTTTTAGCTTGCCTGTCCTATAAGTCGCATATCCCTGCATCCACTAAAAAACTCCATATATAACTGGCGGGCTACTCAAGTTTTCAAATTAAAATTTTAATATGCATAGTATCTAAATAGGTGAGGAAACAAATAGCTTCTTGATGATCTTTTAGTGCAATATTACTAACCTGGTATGATCGTATGTGAGCATGAAAAGTACTTGAAACCAACAACTAATTGTGTAAATAAAAGAACTATGTTTCTTAAAGGTCAGGAGAACATGATACTGATATCCTGATACAATATCACTCATTGGTAACAAGTACTGGTGATATTAAAGAAAAATTACACCGTGGGCACATAAACACAACGAACACAGTTATTGACTTATTTCTGAGTGCAAACGAGGACAGATCATTTCCAAGTCAACAATCAATTGTATTCCATGATAATCATCATACATGGGTCATTGTTTACATCGGAAAAACTTCACATTTTGAATAAATTACTTCATTAAAATAAATTGTTTTCATGTGATTCACTCATCCAGATGAAACATGTTCAGCCATGTTTGGCCATTAGCTGATTGCAGACATCGGATAGCTGATATTGGATTGTAATAGTTGATTTGACTAGCGGATTGTCTTAGTAGTTTGTAAAATGGGAATTTGGTAAAATAGCTGCCCGTGTAGCTATTTTGGTAATCTTATGTTAACCTGTTATTTTATGAATCCTCTATATCAAAAAACGATCATATATTGAGCTTTTTTAAAATTAATGTTGTAGGCCAAAATGCTAATCAAATGATCTCTTTACCAAACAAGCTAGATGGGTAAAACTTCTAAATAAGGTTCAATCCAATCCAATCCACTCCAAACTGCTAACATCCAAACACGTCTAATAAGCAAATTGTTATCTCAGTTCATTTTTTCTCAAGAAAATATGAGGAAATAAGTAAACCAATCCTTCCTATCCTTTATGACCTCCCGTCCGAGAAGAAACCACAATATGCACTCAATAAAGGACCAGAATGCAAAACCCCAGTGTTCGATAAATCCCAAAAACAAATCCACAGGATAAAAAGGCATAGCACACAGACATCAAGCTAATCAGTTAAAATCAAGCTTGTATAACACAAAATCCAATAATCCACCACACCAAAAACAAAATCTTCGACAAAAGAAAAAACCACATAACATGAAGAAAATGTGTAAAACCTCACAACCTATATATAAAACACAGCACGGAATCAAGCTTTATACGATTAAACTAAATGCATAACCACTTTAATCATCAAAAGAAACAAAACCCGTACATGAAAAAAGAGGCCGTGATGACGAGGCCGACGGCGAGCATGAGGACGGCCAGCGTCGGGTACCACGCATCGGGAACTGGGCTCGAGATCGGTTTTACTGATTGAGCCTTGAATTATTCGATCGATGAAACAAAAGCATATGATGAAATTAGGATAAAATTTACAGATCTGTGAAGCCAAAATGTGTGAGAATAATGAAGAAACAAAAGTGGGATGTGAGATTCATCGTTACCATCTCAATTTGTCGGTGTAGATTTTCTCAGCAGCTCCTTCACTCTGTGTATGTCTCAAGTCGTCGGGTCGGCCAGCTTGGTTGTTTGGGAAATTGATAATTTGTGACTAGTTTGCTATGTGGTGTTTAGTAAAACTAGCTTAGAAAGGTAACGCTGGTGTGTGTTTGGTAAAACTAGCTGGAAATGAAGTCGATACCTCATAAGTTAGTTGATAGTTTATAAGTGAATTACGAATTGAAAAATTAGACAATATACAAAGTTTTGAATAAAATTTACTGATAAGTCAACTGAATAAAATTTTCAACTGACTTATTTCAAGAGTCACCTAAGGAAGCGTATGAGATACGTTTTAGATTTTTTTTTAAAAAAAAAAAAAAAAGAAAAAGAAAAAAACTCGACCTAACAAATTTATTTAAACACAAAAAACTTATAACCTAACTAAATAAGTTATAACTTAGCTAATTGTGATTACCAAACACACTCTACATTTAAACTTATTAAATAAAGTGAGTCCCTCGTGTTATCGGTTCTGGTCGAGAATAATAACTTATTATATAATTTTCTAAACTCTTAGCTCTGTTCGGTTTTGTTAAGGTTCGATTTCGATTCGTTAAAATTGATATATGAGTCGATCTCAAGCTCATTCAGCTAACGAGTGACTCGATTTGCCTCCATAAAAGCTCAAGCCAAGTTCGAGCATGAGATTGGATTTTCTAGCTTGATTCAGTTCGTTTTACAACCATTACTACTTTGTCACAACGCACACAAATGTAGGGTTGTGAAACGACACAAAATTGAATAGTTATTCCAAGATGAATAGATAAATTGGTTTGTTGTGTAGTCTTTCCATTTTGCGGTCGAATATAAGATTTAAAATTAATTGTAATATATTAAATATTAATGCACATAATTATTTTCAAAAATTAAATCATATTTAAAAGTACGATTTTTTTTTTGTTTCCCTACATTTTTCAATATGTAACACTAGTACAATAACCGTGTACTACACTGGTACTTGTTAAGAAAATTATTTTTAAAACTATATAATAATAATAGCAACAAAAATTGTTTTAATATTTAATACTTTTTTGGAAAAAATATATTATTATTCATATTTAAAATGGCATCGTCATTTACACGACTTACCGTCTTATATTATAATTTTTTTAGTTTATATGAGATAACTACTTTGTAGTTAAGTTAGTTTAAATAACTTTTTTTTTGAACTAATGTTAATAGTTAGTTTAATTGTAACTATAAAGATAAATAAAATTATTTATATATTTTTTATTTATGATATATATAGATATCAAATCGAAATTTATTAAGACATGATTAATTAGTAAATTATATATAAAAAATTGTTAATAAATAAAAAAATATTATTTTTTAAATATATTAATAATTTAAGTTAGAAAATTTGTTATAATTTTAAAAGAAATATAAGAAAAAAAAAATTGGGAAAAGAATTATACCTTATAAACAACGTTACTATAGAAAATAATATTAAAACATAATGAATGTTATTAAAAAGAACCATAAATATCTAGTATCTATATACATATAAAAAGGTTTGACATTTATTTGAAATAGTAAGTGAATTCCCGCCTAAAAATTTATAAGTTACTAATTTTGGTAATTTTTTTTTTAATTTTTGAAAAATCCCGCTATTACTCATTAATTTTGAGTTTTGAAATTGTTTTGAATTAATTTTTTGGTAAATTTTATAAATTATGGGAACAAAATTTGATTATGATTTTTAAAATAAAAAAAATATATTCCTGATGATTTAGCTGCAACATTCTAAATATTGAATGATTTAGTCAAAATTTTAAATTCTAATATTTAATAAAATGATTGACTCCATATTTATGTATATCAATTATAGAAAACCTCTCTCAAAATTACTGAGTGTAAATTAACTTGACGGATCAAAATCACATCTGATCAAAATCACATCCAAAGTAATTATCCCACAATCAAAACGAATCTCGCCTCTCCAAGATGTTCAAATTAATTCTCTCGCCTTTCCCAAAATCAGATCCAAACAAATGAGCCAAAGTAATTCTCCCGAAATCAAAATCTAAACCATTTCTCCAATTAGGGATCGACATGAGGAGATGGGCACAGTGGAGCTCCATCGGCTATTCTCCATGCTCGATGAACGACAATGGCAACATCAGCGGGAAGGAGCTCTCGGGATCTGCGTGTCGGAGGAGAAGCTGCGGCCGATGATCGGAAAGGTTGACGCTGACGGGGACGCCGACGAGTTCGGCGCCCGGTATGCGACAACATTGGAAAACGGCGAAGGCGACAAAGGGGACGACGGTGAAGAAGACGTGCGGGAGGCTTTTAGGGTTTTCGATCGGGAAGGGGCAGATTCATCACAGCGGATGAACTGAGGTCGGTGTTGGCGGTGTTGGGGCTGAAGTAGGTGAAGACGCCGAATGAGATTCAAAGTATGATGATCAGGGTCGATTTAGATGGCGACCGGAGGGTCAACTTCGGCGACTCCAATAGAGGATGAGTGCAACCACTTTGTCAAGGTAAATTTATTGTTTTTGTTATAAAAAAATTTTGTTTTGATGCCGAGTAATTTTACTGTTCATTCAGTTTATTGGATATGAAACAAAAAACTTTGCTTATTTTATAACTTAAAATACAACGAAGAAAAAAACAACTGAGGCAGTATACTGCTTGGACCCATCAGGAGGAAGAAAGCTTTTGCTCTACGTCAAGTTGGCAAGGTAAACTATCTTCTACATTTTACAAATCAATTCTTTGAAAAATTATGTTTTATATGGAAAGCCTTTTCTTTTGCCTGCAGAATTTTGTGAAAATCATTAGTCGTGTCCAGAGTAAGAACAACAAGGATCAGGTGATTTTTCATGAATTGGATTTTTCACCAGTCAATTTTTTCTCCTTCGCCGTTTTCTTACTCTTATTCTTTTGCTATCATGATCTCATATTTGTAATTCAGGTTAGTCACACGGGATTCTCCTGGAAGCCGTCCAAGTCCTGACGGATCTGAACCTTTCAATCAAAAAGGCCTACATATGGTCCGACAGCCGGTGGTACATGGACGGTGAGTGCCCACTACGCGCCACCTTTCACCTCCCCTAGCCCTCAAAAACCCGCATTAACTGTCCTTTGATTTATTTCTAACTCTTTATTTCTAACTCTTGACGTTTATACACTCCTTAAATTCTGGGTTGTTCATGTGACTGACTTGAATGGGAACAAACTAATAGATGAGAGCGTCCTCGGCTACATCGAGCAGGTAATCTATTCAATTATATTAATTAACAACACATTAAACGTCGTCCGAAACAATTAATTTCATTCTGAATTTAATTGATTGATCAACTATATAATTGGTTGTTTATGCTGTCGCTTGAGACGGTCCATTACGGTCGACCGACAAGCATCAAGGTTTAACAGCCTTTGATCCAACGAGCACGGATGGGGTCGGGCTTCTATCTGAGGTTGTTGTTGTTCTTTCAAAGTTGAGCTGCAATGTAGTTTATGTCAAGGTTTGGACACACAATGACCGTATAGCATCTTAATTTACGTCAAGGACAACCACTCGGGCTCACCAATCGAGGACGAGCAGAAGTTAGACACAATCTGGGTCGTTTTGAGGAACGTGCTGAAAGAGTACAACGACATTCAGAGTGTGAGACCCTCGGGTTCGTTGGCCGTGATGCATGCCAGTTAATGGTTTGGTTGTTCTTTGAAATCAGGAGTTTTCATTGGACACGTGGATAGGACACCGATTAGCTCCGAGGCCGAGAAGGAGCACGCATTCTTTGTCTACAGGCCCCGATCGAGAGAAGGGCATCTAAGGTGCTGTGAAAAAGCCAGACCTTTTGGTTGATGCAAGGAATGTTTAGAGCAAATGGTGGTTGTAATTATGTGAAAAATCTAGACCTTTTACTAGACATTGGCCCTAATAATGAGGTATTTGATTCTAAAGTACAATTACCGTGAAAACTACCATCAAACTATGTTTCATTCTGAAAAATATTTCATTTTTGTGCATTGAAATATATATTTTTTTATTGTTTACTATTGGTATATATGATTATGTTCATCATTATTTAGATAAAGTACACATGGGAGAAGGTTGGAATCTTATGTCTGGTGCATTTGTATGATATTGTGCATGTTTATAATCTTATGATATTATGCTGGGAGAAGGTTGAAATCGTACACACAATTTTGCATGTTTGTAATCTTATGTCTGGTGCATTTGTATGATATTGTTGAGTAATTTGGTTCTCAAGTTTCAAATGAGTATTAAAGGTGCATTTGAGGTTGAATGAGATGGTGGAATTAATCATATGACTTGAGCTCACATGGAAGTGTTTTGAACATTTAATAAACATGAAACCAATGGTAAAGATCCTAAAATATTAAAATAAGTGAAAATGTGAAAAAAAAAGGATATTTCATTTGTTTATTTTGACATTGTGATCCTAAAATAAGAATACTGATTGATAGGTTGGTTGCTTGGCCTCTTAACCATAACACAAAATATATATTTATGTTAATTTAGCTCTTAAAACGTGCTAGCAGTAAATTGAGTTGCAAGTTATTAGAGGAAAAGATGAAAAAAGTTTGGACAAATATATATATATATATATATATATATATATATATATATATATATNNNNTATATATGTATAAGTTTGTATTTACTTGAAATAGTAACTAAAGTTCTGCAAAAAAAAAAAAAAATAAATTTTACTTATTTTAGTAATTTTTAAAATATTATTTTTAAATTAGCCGCCAATAATTTGAAATTTAAATTAAAAAAATATAATTAATGTACTGAAATATTTCGGTCAAATATTGTGGCTATTACCTTTATTAGTTTCACAGTTTAAATTTGATATATAATATATCGACAAAAATTGCGACTATTATCTTCTTTAGTTGCATAGTTTAATATTAATATATAATATATTGACAGAAAAACAATAAGATTTTTATTTAAAATTAAAATCCTAATAAATAAGTATTCATAACTTATGGGTGAATATTAACTTATTCGTAAATGAATAATCAATTATTTATAATTTTAAAAATTATTGAACTACGTAATTTTTTTTTATTTAGATAGTTTATACAAAATAAATTCATTTTAATAAATGAAAAAATATAAGTTTTATATTTATACTTATTATTCACATAAGTTTTTAAATATATGATAAAATTTATCAAAATAATTATTTTATAGAATCGCATTATAATCAAATCGAATTTTTGAATAAAAATTTTGAAATGAAATTTATTTTGAATGAGTATAACGTAATTTATTATCAGTTATGTGCACCACACGAGTTGTATACTAATTTTAAATAGACATTTTTTTATGTAATTTTGCACAATTTAAATTTTTATAACATTTTCAGTAAATTTCTATAGGTAAATTGTATTACATATTGATTCTATATTTTAAATTTATAAATATTATTTAACGATAATTTTAAATTTATGAAAATTAATTAGTATCTCTTACCCGTGCATCGCACGGGATTCGTACTAGTACTTATAGATATTCCAAGCCACCTAGTTATTTTTGGAATAGAAATAAATTTCAAAGCGTGCTAGTTTGTAGACTCAACATATTCGCGAATTGTATATATGAGGATTTGTTTGATCTAACTTTGTTATTTTCTAAGCAATAGCGACATGATAATGAATATATCTTGTGACTTGTAAGTTCTAATTGTAAAAATGATAAGATTTTGCGAAAGATCAAAGAACCAACAATAAATTATATGTAAAAGCCATCAATGAGAAATGAAATTAGACTCGTTGAGGTAAGATTTTCAAATTGCTAATGATAATTCTACTTATATCCAAATATATCTTATTAAATGGATTATATCAAATCTCTTGAGATATCAAAATCTTGAATTTCTTCCCTCTATCACACTCTACCTTTGAAGTTATAAGTCCAAATGTGATTTGCCTTGTTCTGTTCATTGGCATGCCTACTACTTGGAAGACTGACTAAAGTCACGTGATATCTCAAAATTATTCTATATCAGACTATCGGTTAGACGGGTGGAGATTAGTTGGACCGATAACTTTTGACCCGACTTCATATTTTTCAATAAAATACATTTATTATTCTGGAGTATATGTTTTTTTTTTTAAGACAGTCACGAGATCCGGAGTTATGCCTCGATTAATTCGTTGGTCAACTCGGGTCACACACCTGACAGTAGTGAGATAGTCTCCCAACAAAAGTTTTCTGCATCTACAAGGACTTTAATCCGAGACTTTGTTTAAGCGACATCAAATTACTTACCACTTGAATCGAACTTTATTTATTCTGAAGTATATGTTTTAAGGACACGTTTGAAGAATTGGATAATAAGAGTGTAAAAGTCCATTTGAAAAGGCCATCCCGTGAGGCTTTTGAGTAGTTTTTGGACAATAGGGCGTAAAATTACTTTACTATCCTAAATTGTTATACTTTATTTTTTTTATTTTTTATTTTTTATCTTCAGCCTAATCAATAAAATTATCTTTTTTTGAGTAATGACAAGGATATACATGGAACCTAAATTGTATTACTCCATTATCAAACTTCCCAAACGACCAATTATTTAAGAGTAAAAAATTTTTTGTCATCCAAACTATAACGATTTTCGTGCGTCACCGTATAAACTATCTTTTGACAAACCACCACCTGAAGTATATGGATTTGCCAATTCTATTACTATATAATACCAGAAAAAATACATAAAAAGAAAGTCATTTTCCCGCTTCTTTTTTCGATTATTACCTTTTTTGAAAAAAAAAAAATTGTTTTCATGATTCCCGCCCATGTTTTCATTTTTTTTTTCTTTTTGTGGCTAAATTTGGAGTGACAGATTTATATGTAACTAAATTTTAGGAATAAGTGTATTTTGTATCCATAATTATCTAACCTATATTCCTAACAATACACGAAAATTATGGACAATTAAAAGGAATTTGTGATATTTTATCTAAGAGCATATTCTCCAGTGTACTGAATGTGAATGTTAAATATCCATGCAACGTGCTTGTACTTAATTGGATAACTGATCCCCTTAATGTCAGGGTTGACAGTAAAAATAAGAACAGTCAAATTCTTTGTGCAATGCACACACTTTCTTTCGTAGGATTCGGTTAAACTGATTTAAATTATTGGGATTCTATTAATAAATTGAACGAGTTTTTGGTAGGAATAACAAGTTCTCCTGGTGAGTTTGTTATTCCACATAAACACACCAAAGCTGAGAATGTTAAATGATAAGTGAAATATGATTTTAAAATATTTCGAGACTCATTTTAAACATACTTGGAGGCTCATATGTTTTCACATATCCTGTTATTGGGATTCTGTTAATAAATTGAACGA